TTCCTGGAACTCACTTGGTAGCCCAGGCTGGCCTCGAACTCCCAGAGATCCGCCTGTCTCTGCCTCCCGAGTGCTGGGATTAAAGGTGTGCACCACTACCGCCCAGCGAAGGGTAAGGTTTTTAATCTCAGCTCTTAGCTGTTGCTCTGACCTCTTGGCTTTTAACTCTGTATTTGGCTCTGTGTTTCTTATTTAACAAGACGGTTACATCTACACTCATTTCTCAAAGATTTTCCTGGCTGTCCCTATGGAATCAATCCATCTTCCTCCACACACAGCACACACACACTCCCACACTGCAATGCTATGTTAATTTGTGTGGGTATTTGACCAAGGTCATCTTCTCCCTTTTGTAAGTCCCATGAAGGCAGGAGCCCCAGGTGTCTTTGATGACTTTGTATTCCTCCATCACCTGATGAAGAACAGACATGTCATCAATAGTTGTTAAATAAATGAACCACATGTGCTATTGAGGACACATAAAGGAGAAATGGAAATGCAGAATCAGTCAAAATTGAATATAGTTGTCCTGGTTAGATTTTTGGGAAGAGGAACATCAGTTGAGAAAGTGTAGGCAAGTCTCGAGGACATTTTCTTGATGGATGATTGACATGAAAGGGCCTAGCTCACTGTGGTAGTGCCATCTCTAAGCAGGAGATCCTGGGGTTTATAAGAAAGCTGACTAAGCAAGCCAGGAGGATCAAGCCAGTAAGCAGCCTCCCTCCAAGGCTTCTGCTTCAGTTCCTGCCCTGACTTCCCTCAGTGATGGATGGTGACAGGGAAGTGCAAGCCAAATCAATCCTTTCTTCCTGTTGTTGCTTATTTTATTATTATTTTTCAATCACAGCAATAGAAAGTAAACCTAACCAAGACAGAACCCAAAGCTGGGACATGGGCGGCTGTGGTGGTTTGAATGAGAATGGCCCCGTGGGGTCATACATTTAAATATATAATCCCCAGTTGGTAGAATTTGGGAAGGATTGGGAGGTGCAGCCTTGATGGAGGGTGTGTGTGACCAGGGCCATTCTAAGTCTGCCTCTTACTTATGACTCAGAACGTGAGCTCTCAGCTCCTGCTCCAGCCCCATGCCTGCTTGCCTGCCTCCGTGCTCCTCACCTTCACACTCAGGCACTCTAACCCTCTGAAACTGTAAGCCCCAAACAAAAACGCTTTCTTTTATATGTTGCCTTGGTCATGGTACTTTATCACAGCAGTTGGGTAGTAACTAAGACACAAGCTAATTTGAAGAACACTATCCTAAAAGAGCAGTGGGATTTCTTCAAGCAGAGGTCATTTTTAAATGTGAAGAATGGCTGGGCGGCGGCACACGCCTTTAATCCCAGCACTGAGATCTTTGTGAGTTCGAGGCCAGCCTGGTCTACAGAGTGAGTTCCAGGACAGGCACCAAAACTACACAGAGAAACCCTGTCTCGAAAAACTCTCTCTCCTCTCTCTCTCTCTCTCTCTCTCTCTCTCTCTCTCTCTCTATATATATATATATATATATATATATATATATACACACACACACACACACATATATATATATATGTATGTATGTATGTATATATATAGTGAAGAATGAACTGTATTTACAGTTACAAGGAACTTGTGTTGACCAAGGCTACAACAACCTCAGGGAAAACCAAGGGTTTAAAGCCAGCTCCGGAGTCATCTTCATCTCTGCTTGCCACCTCCACCTCCGCACCAGCCAGCCCTCCACACATGGAGACTACGTCAGCTTTCCTCTGAAGGAGAGGAAGGGCTACGTGGGGCAGGACACCTTCCGGGTCCCCTTGTTCAGTGGGCCATGCCTTCACATTGCTGCCGTCCGCATGCATGGCCCTGGGAGCCTTGATCCCACCTAGCACCTGTTCCTGCCCGCAGCACAACCCTCCTCTGGAGAGAGAGGCACATGGTGGCTGCCATTGCTGCTACTGCCCCAGCTGATGTGGCATGGCACCCAGTTTAGGGGGATTTAACTTCCTCCAAGTGTGGAAGATTTTTCAGTTGGCCTCTGATGGAACATTCGTCAACTGACCACCCCCCCACTCCCTGCCCCCACCTCCGGCCCCACCTCCGCTCCCCCCCCACCCCCCACCCCCACCCCCCGGGCTCCCTTTGAGTCCCACTTCTCCTTGACTGCTGACTCTCTCAAGAGTTTTGTATCAGGCAAATACACTTTTTCTTATCTGTTAAAATATCTTACATCTAAAAGTATAGGGTTGGCTGATTGGTCTCAGTTCCTAATGCTATTTCTCACAGGGGAACTGTGGGGACGAGGCATGATGACCATTCACCCAACATGCTTGTCAGTGAGAGATGAACAAGACACACCCAGGCAGCAGGCCGTCTTGTGGGGCTCTGTGCCAGCATCCCCTCTTCTGCACTAGAGACCTAGCTATCGAGCCCCACCAACTCTACCCTCTCTGTGCTAATTTTTGCCAAGAGCCAGGCATCTAGGAGATCACGAATCTGATTTTTCTTCCAGCATTTCCAACACCAATAACAATCAATACTGTTATTCTCCGTTTCTAAGGTGCGCGTCTCTACTGGACACAGAGAGTTTGGGGTGTCGTTTGAGAGCCTTATCTTTCCTTCTCTGGGACTCAAAGAAGAAAACAAAACAAATGAATCAAGGCCCGAAGTGAGCAACGCGGCGCAGAGGGCTGGCGAGACCCGAGTGCCACCAGAGCAGGAAGAGCATGCAGATTGTCATCTCAGGGAGCTCGCGGTGAAACTGGCCTCCCCGGGCGGGCGCAACATCCGCAAGGCTGACACAGAACACTGCCACTTGGGAAGGGATGAAAATACCCGGTGACATCAGCGGTTCCTAGCACAGCCAGGGCATTCTCGAGGTGTGCGGTGTCAGGACGGCCTGTGCTGGCCTCATTTATCTACCTGAGTCATTTGAACAAAGCACTCGCTGGCTTAGCTTTGTTGTGACTAGAATTTGGAACCAATCCCCTGGCTCTGTCCCCACGGTCTTTGCTTCTGAAGCACAGCGTGGGTTTGTAGGGACACGGACTGAGTCTCATGGCAATCAAGGATAGACTGTTCCTTCTCTGGGCCACAGGCTTCCCTAGGAAGGAGCCTTGGCCAAGTGTCTTTGTGTCTCCAGAGCCAAGGATAGCGTCTGGCAACTAGCAGGTTCTCGGGAATAAATGACGAAGCACGGAGACACATTCTGGGAAACACAGGGCCCTTTGTGGTGGCAGCATGTTCAATAGCACAGCACTGTGCTGCTTCTTTGGCTTGTAGGACTCTAAGGATAATTTGCATTTCCTGGGAAAGGTGTCTGTTGCTGATTGTACACAGGGAAGTGGTGGGATGTGAGGGATCGGGGCTGCCTGGGGCAGACTGAAGGCCTCAGAAAAACACACTAAAATGGAGGTATTCATCCAAGGGAGGCTTCAGAATGCTCAAAGGGTGAGCGTTCTGATTCTCTGAGAAAAGAAGAGTTTCCTTCCGTGCTGGGAAACAGGGCTGCAGATGAGGGGTATCAGGAAGACAGACTTACTTCAGGTTTCACTACGACAGCCTCCGTGAACTCCCTCCCACTCATTCCCCAGCCTTTCCACTAGGGGGCAGACAGAGGCTAGAGAACATTGCAGGCAGGGCGCCGGTCCCTCACCAGCACAACCAGCCTCCCATCAACACACTAGGCTGTTTGTGCTCTGCAGAAGGCAAGGCTAGGCCTCTCTTCCGGCCTGTCACAGCCTCGGTGACATTGTATGGTTTGCCAGTGACATCGGACACTACACAAATATGATAACCAAACTGTACAGTTCGGGGTGAATGTTAATAAACAGAAGAAAGAAAGGAAGAAAAAAAGAAAGAAGAAAGATCCTCGGTGCTTTTTTGTTTTGTTTTGTTTTGTTTTTTGTTTTTGTTTTTTTCTTCTTGCCATATGTGATTGGGGGGGGGGGGGGATCCATGCCTCCTGTATCCTTCATTATCCAGAGCAAGCATGGTGTATCTGAATTTAGTGACTTCTCGTAACGAAAGGACAACCGGGGACCATCTATTCTTGAAAGCAGCCATGCGTTTCCCATACAAGTTGGCATTCCCTCTGAGACCTCATTCTACAGGCCTCTGTACTGTAGCAACACATCATTTCAAGGGAAAATTATTTTTTAATAATTCCCACACGCCTTAGAAAGTCATTTCCTCCTCAGACATCCTAGGCAATTGGGCCCCTTAATTGGCTTAATTTTTATTCTTAATCCTCAAGGGTTGGGGGAAAAACAACACAATTCTTCCTGTTCCTATTAGCTGCGCATAGACTTAGCTCTAAAGTAAACTGCACTCAGCCTAAAGGAAGAAACGTTTTGCCAGGCCAGATCATGGAAACAGAGATCACCATAGAAATGAGTCACTCCTACAAAATCGGAGGATTTGAAAGTCGCTCTCCTGCCTGCGGAGGGTGTTGGCTCAGAAGTCTTTGCTCCGAGCTTGCTAACATTCATAGAAATGTCTGTCAAAACAGTAAGTTTTATGACTTTTAATGAATTGCATCTTTAATTGTGCTGAGAAAAAGTAAGCAAATTACAGGGGCCAATGGAGAAGGATCGGGCTATCCTTAAAACAAGGGTTTCTAGTGGGATCAACATTCTTATGTAAATTCTTTCAAGCTCTGGACTTTGTGTGTGTGTGTGTGTGTGCTACCCCTGATTCGATTCTGACAGTATCACTGCTCAGAAATTGTCTATAAGCACAGAGCCTGACATTAAGTTGCTTTAAGGGCTTGCAAAATGCTCTTAAGAATTACCTAAAAATATGCAGTTTTTAAATTATTTTTAGATTTGTTCATCTAAAGTCATTTGATTTTCAATTAAAAAAATAAACAGGCTTGGATGTATTTGGACACAGATGTGGCTGTGGTTTCTCGATTCCTTTGTTTAAAGGTGTTTTCTAACCGTGGACAAGACTGTGGAGAAGGCATTCATCTGATTGGGTAGTCAGGCTTACAAAGAAACTAATTACAGGCCAGAGGGAGGACTCACCCTCCTTCGTCTGAATTCCCTTCCACATATCAACATAGTTTGACCTTGATTTTTTTAGATGTAAGTAAAGGGCACTGATGTAATTCAAATAAACCAATTTTTCAAATACCCCAAGGAATCTGGAATCAGAGATGACAGGCTTGAAGGACGAAAGCCTGAGGGGTAACCAATTCTCCAAGTCCTCACAGTGGATGCTTCGTCTCTTCTTATTGAGCTAAGATATTTTTGTCTTCTTTCCAGGGAACATTTGTTTGCCTAGTCCTCTGGAAAATACCCAAATACAGGCTTCCCCTTTCCCTCCCTCTCTCTCATTCCCTCTTTCTCTCTCTAAGCCTTCTGGTCTTTTTTTTTTTTTTTTTGAGTCTTCCCATTGACATTTGCACCATGGCAGCCTCTGCGGTCAGTGAGGTGACCTCCAACCTCCCTCGCCTTTCTCGGAGGGCAGAGGCCTCCCTTCTGGCCCTGACAAAGCACTTTCAGTCAACTCTTGGGTTTCTTCATGGTTGATTAAACTGTCTGTGTTTATTCAGGACCCTTCTCCTCTTTCTGTGTCCGGCTGCTGACCTTTCTGTTGCTTCATTGTCAGAGGAGAAAGCGCATGGGCATTCAGCCCAAATGCTTGTTAGCAGCCCTGGAAAACAGCGAGGCCACTGGGTGATTAGCACATCTTCAAAGCCCGGAGCTTTTCACCTGGGCCGCTCTCAGAACTGCGGTTCCTGGGTGAAGCCAGCGCCAGGAGAAACCATCAGGTGGCTTGGGAGTTAGGGTTGCTGTGTCCCTCTGGAATGGCCCTGAGGCCGGCCATCATGTCACAAATGGCCTGGTGGCTTCATGGAGTGTGAGGTTCTGAACAAGGGTCGAAAGGCTTTCATCGCTTGGAAATCGGAATAAAAAGAAGAAAACCAAGCACAGAGGGTTCTGTTGAGCAGCCAGAGATAAACCGGGAAGGACACTTTGAGCCAGGACTCCCTGACTGCCCCAGTCTCCCGCCTCCCCATCCACGGAGTCTCCTCAGCAGGATGGCTGACCCCTACTGTTACCCTGCCCTGGGCTCTTGGGCAAGCTCAGGCCCCAGCAGGGCCACCGGCTGGCTAAAGCCCAGTCTTCATGTGGCTTCACCGCATGGAGACATCCTTTCTTTTTCTAAACACCGTGACCCACACCTGCTGTACCTCTCCAAAAGGCATTTTGAGTTCCACTTCTTTGGGTATGAATTTCATCGCCTTGGCTTGGCTGCCAGTGCTCAGAGAGTGGGAAATGCGCCGTCTTTATCCTCCTCGGCCTGCAAGCATGCGCTGCTGCGGATCTTAGTGAGAGTAAGTGGATAACGGATGTGCAGATGGACAGTCTCCCAGCCTTTCTCTGACATTCCTTTAATGGCACCTAGTCCCCTGGGATAACTTTATCCTCTCCGTACTCTTCCTCACAGTGCTCAGATCCTGGCACACACAGGGCTTGGTTTTATTTCTTTTTTTTTTATTTTAGTTATGTGTCTATATCACCTTTTCCATCTCAGGTGGTCAACTCAGGGGACTGGGTTTCCACTGAACACCTTTGTCACTGGAAATGACACAGAGGGGCTAGATACCCAGTGGACTTCAGACTAGTCAAAAGGAATCACTGGGGTTGACTTCTTCTTCTTCTTCTTCTTCTTCTTCTTCTTCTTCTTCTTCTTCTTCTTCTTCTTCTTCT